CTCTTCCTGCTCTTGCCGACCCGGAGTCAGACTCTCTTCGTGCTGCCAGTCCTACTGTCACGCGTCTCCTTGCTACTGCCGTCACTGACCCTTCTTTCGCGTCTTCTGCTGCGTCTGCCCTTGTTACTGAGCTCGTCGACTTTGCTGCGCGCTGTCGTCTAGACTACGCTGCTAGTCTTGTCGCTGAGTCTTAGTCTGCCTGTTCTCCGTCCGTCGGGGGTGAGTGTGCCCTTGGCACGGACGTCCTTGAGGACAGGCAGGAGGAGTTCCAGTGTCTGGCCGCCGCTTCACCTCATCTCGCGTCTGTACTGCTCGCCCCTGAGGGAGACCCGGATGCACTAGACATCCCGACTCCGCGCTCTTACGCGGAGGCGATAGAGGGTCCCTACTCCTCTCAGTGGCAGGAAGCTATGGATGCAGAGATGGCTTCCTGGAAGTCCACAGGCACCTACGTTGACGCTATCCCCCCTCCTGGGTCGAACATCGTCAGTGGCATGTGGATTTTCAGGGTGAAGCGGCCGCCGGGTTCTCCGCCTGTCTTCAAGGCGCGTTACGTGGCTCGTGGCTTCAGTCAGCGGCAGGGAGTTGACTACTTTAAGACCTTCTCCCCCACCCCGAAGATGACCACTCTTCGGGTACTGCTGCACGTTGCTGCTCACCGTGACTACGAGCTGCACTCTCTCGACTTCAGCACTGCTTTCTTGCAGGGCAGCCTGCACGAGGAGATCTGGCTGCGTCGCCCACCTGGCTTCACTGGGTCTTTCCCTCCTGGTACCCAGTGGAGTCTCCGGCGTCCAGTCTACGGTCTCCGCCAGGCGCCACGTGAGTGGCACGACACACTGAGGACTACGCTCGCGGCACTTGGGTTTGCTCCTTCTACTGCCGACCCGTCGCTGTTTCTGCGCACCGACACCTCTCTGCCGCCGTTCTACATCCTCGTGTACGTCGACGACTTGGTCTTTGCCACAGCTGACACTGCTGGACTCGCCTACGTGAAGTCCGAGCTGCAGAAGAGACACACGTGCACTGACCTGGGTGAACTGCGCAGCTACCTTGGCTTGCAGATCACCCGGGACAGAGCACGCCGCACCATTACCCTGACTCAGTCACACATGGTGCAGCAGGTCCTTCAGCGCTTCGGCTTCACGTACTCCTCGCCTCAGGCCACTCCTCTGCATACTCGCCACTCGCTCTCAGCTCTGCCTTCGGATGAGTCCGTAGAGTCGAGTGGCCCGTATGCAGAGCTTGTTGGCTGCCTCATGTACCTGATGACCTGCACACGACCTGACCTTGCATACCCTCTTAGCATTCTCGCACGCTATGTTGCTCCAGGGAGACACCAACCAGAGCACATGGCTGCAGCGAAGAGGGTGTTGCGCTACCTGTGCAGTACGTCGGACATGGGGCTAGTGCTTGGAGGGCGCAGTCCAGTGGTCCTCACTGGGCACGCGGACGCTTCTTGGGCTGATGACCAGGCTACGCAGCGGTCGTCACAGGGTTACACCTTCAGCCTTGGTTCCGGCTCTGTTTCGTGGCGGGCTACCCGCTCGTCCTCTGTTCTCGGCTCCAGTTGTGAGGCTGAGATCTACGCCGGGGCTATGGCGGCCCAGGAGCTTCGCTGGCTCACCTACCTGCTGATCGACCTTGGAGAGCCGCCTCGTTCTCCTCCAGTCCTGTACGTAGACAACAAGGCCATGCTGGCCTTGTGTCGAGAGCAGCGACTGGAGCACATGACAAAGCACATTGCTCTCTGCTACTTTCTTGCTCGTGAGCTTCAGCAGCGTGGACAGTTGCGACTTGCGTACGTGGCCTCTGAGGCCAACACTGCTGATGTCTTCACCAAGGCACTTGCGCCTTGTGATCATCAGCGCTGCTGCACGCAGCTGGGTCTTGTGCCTGTCTTGCCTCACTTGCTCACTTCTTGACCTTGCTTGTACCTTTACCTATATATACTCTTGCTCTTGCTTGCTTGACTCTTGTATATCTATATATATGTGTTCTTGCATGTGAACTGGCCTTTTGGCCTTTGAACCTGTGCTCGGACTGTGTGGTGACTTTGTGATCCACCCTGAGCTTTGCCTTGCTCTGCTTGACTGGTCTTGTGACCCCTTGTTCTCCCCCACTTTGCCTATGGGGGTGTGTCAGAACATTATAGTTTACTTATTTGTGTAGGCTATAGTGGGATATCCCATCGGGGGTACAGCCCAATTAGGGTTTCCTATATGTACTCACTTCATTCATAGTCATTCCATTCTCGTTCACTTCTACTCATCAAGCCCCGAAGTATTTTCTGCCTTGTAGCCCCGACATTTCCGCCGTTAGCCCTGGTACTCCGACGTTCACCCATCTTCGTACCTGTCGAAACTACTTAGCAAATCCCAGGCATCCTTGGCAATACACCCCTCGCCGCGCCTCCATGTAACGATATCAAACCCTTTCAGGGGTCTACCGAATAGACTCCGAAATTCGCGGTGGAGTGGTATACGGGCTCCGCCTATCACTCAAGTAGCTTGAAACGACACCCACAACTTTCCCTCCTTTTTTTTTTTTTTTTTTTTTTTTTTTCGCTTTCAGACATTCTTCGTGTTGACCCGCGATTTTTTCTGGCGTTCGATGAAGGCGCGAACACAATCGTAGCCGGGGTGAGTTTATCGTATCAAACGCCCGCCCGGCCGCTTCGCTGCCCACCGTGCCTATCGCACTTAAAACTCCACAGCTTCGGGAACTCCATCTTCGCCGCTACACCGCCCTTGGGTAGACCGTTGAATCAGGAGAAACACCGCCAGCTGCCACAATTTTTTCAGTCCCGACTTTTTCGGGAGGGGAACTATCGCCGCTGGTCCGTTTTTGTCGGGGCCGAACAGTGTCGCACCACAAACTGTTTTCTTATACGCCCTGCCGTCGAACCAGCGCCACCCACGCCTTTCTAACCAGCACAGGGCTAAAAACACAGGGCCCCACCTTTTTATCCAGTAGCCAACAGGACTTACGAATTGCCTTCGAGGCTTTTGTGGTGTGAGGTATGTGAAACGTCGGTAGACTTGGCCGGTAGGGAGCTCCTTCTGCTACCGCCGCTTAGCCGTGAGACTCGGCCTCAGCAAAAGTCGTCGCTGTAGGTCGTTTTTCTCGCCTCCTGAAGTCGGAACCCGTTTCTCTCGCCGGACCCGTATTAGTCGCAACTCCGTTCATTGTAGCCGGTAGAACCCCCGAAAATTCGCGGGTCTAAGCGCTGCGCCGAATCGTTGTTCCGTGGTGTACTGGGCTGTCTGCAAACACAGGTACCTCTGGCCGGAGGGAACTATGCCGCGTGAAGTGCAGAATCGGCTGCCACTGTTGCTCCGAAATTTTCGCCGATAAACATTGTGCCAGAAACAGTAGTCACCCAAGCCGGAACAGTCTGGTCGTAGGCGGCCTTTTCCGAACTTTTCGGTGGTTTGAATAACAACTTCCGTTCCACACTGTGCCGCTCTGCCGAAAAACGCCCACGACGCACCCTCCTGCAGCAACACCTGCCGCACCCGGGCGGGACGACGGTAGACCCCCGCTTTCTTCGGGCAGTCGCTACGCCACCTCTCCTCGCCGTCGGTTTTTTCGACGCAAATCACACATTGCGCCTGGCTGCTCGACCAGCAGTCGTTTTCCACGTGCTGCTACCCGAAATCTTCGCGCACAGTGACGACGCGCCACTTGCCGAAGACTTCCACCAGCTCGTGCGCAACGTGACGAAGACGCCCATCGCCACTTGCCGCACGCAGCTAGCTCCGTAATTGTCGCGCGCAGCTGTCGACCACGTGTCGACGCAACTCGCACGACGATCTTGCTTCCGACAACTTCGGACGTGCGCCGACGACGAGCCTGCCGACGTCAGCCGCTACACAGCATTAACTTCGAAAATTGCCGAAAACGAGTTCTGTTACTCACGCATTAAATGCGACGTCAGCAAAAGCTGTCCGCCACCCATGGGGAGGGAGGCCACGGTCCATCTCGACCGTCGAGGGCAAGGATCCGTCGGTGCAGCAGGAGCGCCTGTAAAAACATGGCCGCTAGGAGCAACTATCCGTTCTCCTGGCCGGCTACTGAGCTGGTCCTGTCACCACGGCATCCTTCCCTGTCCCCCCCCCGAGGGGTAATACACTCTAAAAAACGGGGAAGCTAGGAAAGTAGCTCTGATACCAAGTGTTATGAGTTTTAGTAGACAGAGTGCGCGGAAGACTTTATAAAGAAAACGTGATTACAGAATGATCACATAATGAAGAAAGCAAGCATTTATAGGGCGAAAACTAGCTAGGCGAGAACCTCTAGGTGTGCGTGGCTCGGGGATGTCACGATTGGTGCGGGGCGACTCGGAATTGGTTCGGTGCGAAAGGGTAGGTCGAGCCATCCTGACGCGAAGTGCTCGGGCTGTCCTCGCTAGGAGCAGCCTCTACAGTAATGAATTGCATATTCATTACAGAAGCCATACCACTCTGCCAGGTTACATCAAAAGCTTGTGGTGTAAAGATTACAAATTTGAGTTCTTACAAAAACAGACAGAAAAGCGTTCCAAAATGCAACATGACAATCTGGAATGAAATGTGATACCAACGAAGGGGACACACGAAGTGCGTCTCTCAAGCTTGAAGGGGTTTCGGGCTTGGCGGGTGTAAGGCAAATTTCAGCGGGAGTGGGGTGTCACGTCACATGACTCGAATACCTCGCCGAATTTAGAAGCGGGAGCAGCGCTGGTCGCTCACTGGCCTTGACTAAATTGTTCATCCAGTGGCGACGCCAAGCTCCCTGCCGCAACGCTTGTCGGCCAATCGTCACTCGCTGCAAGTTGCCAGTATCACAGCCGTGCAGTGCACTGTATAGTCTGCGGTCGTTTGCGACTCCCGCCACCTGCACTGCATGGATGCCTTCGCGCGCGTCCCCCTACCCTGCGCCTGCTCCCTTTTGCCCAACTCTGCCGCCTCCGACTCGCCCATTTCACTGCCCCCGCCGCGCCTGCACGAGCCCCTCGCATGCACGGGCTGCGGGCCTCTCTGCGCGCGCCTGTCTCTGGCGCCCCGCCTCCTTGCGCCCTCGCGCGTGCCGCCTCTTCCGCCCACGCGTCAGTGCCTGCGCTGCGTCCGCAGAGTAGCGCCCCTCACCGCCTTTCCCTCCCGCGCGAACGTCCCGCGCACACCACGATCGCGCGCCGTCCGACTCCCGCCCAGTCGGATTTCGGAAGCTTCCGCCTGCATCGTCCACACCTCCGTCCGCGTCCGCAGCGGCGGGCAGGGGCGGTGTGCGCGTCGGCAGAGGAGCCGTTGCGCGGCGGACCAGGGGGCACTGCGGCGAGATCGTGAGGAGGGACGGAGACGCGGCGGGGGGCGGCAGCTTCGAGCGCGCGGGGAGAGAATTGGACAGGCGGGGCGCGGGGCGCGAGAGCCCGTTCCGGCGGCATTAGGCGGAGGCGGAGCGCCTATCCGGGGACATGCGCCCGTGGGCAAAAGACGGGAAGGGGCGCGGGGACGGTGGCGAGGGGAGACGAGGCGAGGGCGGTGGCAGTAGCGGCAGCGACGCGGAGGGGGAGGAGGGAGGCATGGGCGGCAGAAGCAGGGCGCGCAGCAGCAGGGCGGAGAGGCGGGGCGCAGCAGCAAGACCTCGCGTCCTTCTTCCGCACCCAGCGGACGGGCATAGCGCGCAGGGGCAAGGGCGCAAGCACCAGCCTGTGCGCGTTGACCTCAGCAACAACCACCTGTCCGGGACGAACCCCCAGTTCCTTGGTGCCACCCCTTCTGGTTCCCTGGTGCCACCCCTTCTGGTTCCCTGGTGCCACCCCTTCTGGTGACCCCGCTGCTGAAAGCGCAGGGAGCGCGAGCGTGGCGCAGCTGCGGCTGGGAGGCAACGAGCTGGCAGGGTCCATCCCTGACACCCTCTCCACACTCACACAGCTCGTCGCCCTCAATCTCTCCACCAACCGCCTGTCGGGCTCACTACCCTCGGGCTTGGCGGGCCTGCAGCAGCTGTCGGTGCTGGACGCCTCCTGGAACGCCCTCACCGGCTTCATCCCTTCCACCCTCTCGTCCCTCCACTCCCTCAACCTCTCCTCCAACTTCTTCCTCTCTGGTCCAATCCCCGCCGGCCCACTTTCCGCCTTCCCCGTCACTTCCTACGCTAACAACTCCGCCCTCTGTGGCCGTCCCAGTAACGTCTCCTGCTCCCCCTGCCTCCGCCCTCCTTCCCCCCTCCGGGAAATTCAGATGGTTTGCCAGCGGCTGCAGTGGCAGGCATTGTGGCAGCGAGTGTGTGTGCGCTTGCGGTGGTGGCAGCAGCACTGTGTGTAGTGGAGAGGAGGAGGGAGGTGGAGAGGAGGAGGAGGCTGAACGGGTACTTGCTGATTGTGAAGCAGGCGCCAGTGAAGGTGACGGTGGAGGGGATAGTGGAGGGCACCAACAACTTCAGTCACACCATGCTGCTGGGGAAGGGCGGCCTTGGCAGAGTCTACAAGTAAGCCTGGGGTCTACACCCCCTCGCGGCTGGAAATAGTTCTTTTACAATTGAGTGTGCTGCCACCTGGTTATGATTGCAAGCACAGCATGCAGATTCTTGCCACGTGATCGTTGCTCTACCATGCATGCTACTCTTTCCCGCATCACATCCTCCCTTCACTCTTGTCCCCGGTCCATGTGCCTCCCCCCCCCCTGTGTGTGCCGTGCTGGACCCGCTGCTGGGGCCGTGAGCGCCCACCAGGGCAGTGGAGGCCGTGCTGAGACTGGCGTTGCGGTGCAGAGCCAGTCTCAGGGCGGAGCAGAGCCAGAGACGGCCCTCCATGCTGGATGCGTGGACGTACCTCACGAGTCTGTATGGTGTGGTGGCGCACATGCAAGACGACGGTGGGGAGGGCTTGGATCTGTCACTGGAGCAGCAAGGCATGGCGTGGGATGCTGGGGGCGTTGGATCTGGGTCGACTTGTGTACTGCTTGGGAACAGAGCTGATGAGGAGGACAAGGGTGAGAAAGATAGTGACATGCACATGAGTGGGACAGGGTCAGGTTGGGAGCTGTTGTGGGGCTTGAAAGGCATAGCTAGTGCAGCTAGATAAGGGTCAAGCAGAATTTTGGTACTGTGTTGGTTGTAGACAGAGGTGGAAGATACCTGAGACTTGTAGTACCACATGAATCACATTGCACTACAAGTCAGCTTAGGACCAATTTCAATTCCCCTATAACTGTTTTTCACAGGGTATTGGGGTATTATTCCAACAAATTGCAAGGCGTCCCTTGTCATCCCACTGGTGGGCTAAACACTTTTCAATAAGGACGTTTTGTGAAAGCGGTTTCATCACGTGGGTGCTGTAGTTAGTTTTGCTTCCTGGAATATCTCATTTTGAAATCTACCGTATTTCCATCACACCATTTTGAAGTACCCGTCATTCGTAGAGTGCACCTGGAAAACGATGCACGTGCCTAACATGTCTCGCAGTGAGTGCACTGCACAACTCCACCAGTCCGCTACAGAGGCGCTGGGCACATCACACCCGCAGCTACACAAGTCATCAGCTGCCCGGATAGCGTCTGGTCTGGTCTGTCGGATGGTAGTCTGTCGCTGGGGGCCAGGCAATGGAAGTGACCGGGGAGTGGGGGGGAAGAGCGGAAGGGACATGAACGATACAGGGTCAGGTGTGCTAGACAGATTTCCTACCGTATCGCCCCGGATATAGGCGCCGTCCGATTAAAGGCGCCGGCGCTTCTATCTGGAGCATGGCGCTTATGGCCGGAATTCGATTATAAGCGCCCCCCCCCTGAAAATGCTTTACTTATTATAAGCGCATGCCTAAATATATTTTTCATTCCTGATTAAAACGGTAACGAACTTCATATTTCTAGCGAGTCACATCACATTTTCACTTTGTTTGACTTTCGCGGACCTCACTGGTTGCGCGTCCAGTCAGTATGAGCTGGCACGCGGGCAAAATGACGCGCCAAAGCTCAGTGCACCGTCAGAAATTCGCCCTCGCGCGATTCTGATTCTGGACGCTGTAAAGTTTTAATTCGGTTCAACTTACGAGACTGAAATGTGTTGGGCTGAGATAGCCCCTTAGGATCTTTGCAAGGGATAACTCTAGGTGAAGTAGTTGTAATAGCGGAAGCGTTTAGTGAAGAATTTGAACCGACCTTGCACTGGTGTGTGAGAGCAAAGTTGATTGAATTAAACAAGCAAATACAAGGATTTATATAAGAGTACAGGGAATAGATAGATAACTGTATTGCTGTTGCGGTTCGATATAGCGCGACTCGGGCAACTGCTCTGTAACGAGTCAGTTGTGTGTCCTTAACTGTCACGCTGTAATTGTCGAGTCAAAGGTCAGCGACCTTTGACTTTCTCGTAACCTCCAGGCGGTTACCCTAACCTCCGAGGTTGACTCGATGCTTCGATTGGGACTGCTTCGCTTGGTACCTTGGATTTTGATACGACAGAAGCGCACTTAGGACTTATTGTTTCCAACACTCCCCTTCGCTTCTGGAGTGTTACTGCTGGTGACGTGGCCTTGTCCAGTCAGCATCATGCAGTATTCGAACTTCTGCTTGCCGAGTTTCTTGGTCAAGTAATCGGCTGCCATCTCGGATGTTGGACAGTATGACAGATCGAGTTTCCCTTTTTCTATCTCGTCCTTCACGAAGAAATAGCGCAGGGCGATGTGTTTCGTCCTGTTTGCGAAGCCGTTTTTGTTGGCGATGCGAATTGCTGACTGGTTGTCGCAGAACACGGTGAAGCTGGGTAACTCGGCTAGCTTCGCTTCTTCCAGTAGTTCGCGAAGGTAAAGTCCCTCCTTGGTGGCTGAGCAGAGTGCAATATATTCTGCTTCTGCTGAAGATAGTGCGATTAACTCCTGCTTGCTCGACTGCCAGGAGATAGGACCGATAGGCTCAAGGCGGTAGACATAGCCGGTGCGTGAGCGCCTGTTGTCGGTGTCGCCGGCGTGATCGGCGTCGACGTAGCCGATTAGCTTAGTCGGTGTAGCTGCGCTCTTGTGGTAGGTTAGCCCGATCGTCGCGGTGCTGACGAAGTAGTGGAGAGCGCGATCAAGTTCCGCCAGGTGTTCAGCTTCAGGCTTCTTGAGATAGGTGGCGAGCTGACTTGCGGAGTAGGATAAGTCAGGACGGCAGGTGACGGCGGCGAATAGCAGGCATCCGAGCTTCTTCTGATAGTCGCGTATGCCGGCGGGCTTGAGTAGAGTAGTTCGTTCCTTCTCGGTTCCTGATGTGTAGCGGTAGGGCGTGGAGATGGCGCTTGGTGTGAGGCTGAAGCGTTTCGCGATGGTGTCGGCGTATTTCTCGGCGCTTAGATAGATGGCGTTTTCTTCTTCGCGGATGTTGAGCCCGAGGTACTGTGTAACGGTGGAGGAGACCGTGAGCGTGAGGTCTTTCTGGAGCTCTCCTTCGAACCACGTGGCGATGCCGTCGGTTGACCCAATGTAGAGGAGATCGTCCACGTAGACGATCAGGAGAACGTAGTCGCTTCCCTTAGTGAGGCGGTACATGCCTTGGTCGTGAGGTAGTTGACTAAAGCCGATGCGGATGAGACGGGCGTGCAGGTACTGCTGCCACAGTCGCGGTGCCTGCTTGATCCCGTAGAGCGACTTAAGTAGTTGACAGATTCGGTTGGGTTCGCCGTGGGAACCGTGCGGGAGCTCGACGTAGATTTCTGCATCCACAGGTGCGTAGAGGAAGGCATTCGCGACGTCGATCTGCCGTAACTTCTTCTTCTTCATGGCGGCAATGGCGAGGAGAATTCGGAGTGACGTGTGGCGGCTGACTGGAGCAAAGGTCTCGGTGAAGTCTCGTCCTTGCTCTTGGTCGAATCCACGTACGACCCAGCGTGCTTTGAATTTTTCGATCGTGCCGTCTGCTTTCGTCTTGATGCGGAAGACCCATTTCCCGGTAAGGATGGTTTTGTTCCGTGCCACGCTTACGGGAACAACCTTCCAAGTGTTGCGTTCCTCTAATGCCTTCAGTTCTCTATCCATGGCTTCACGCCATTTCTCCCTGTGTTCCCCCCCCAGAGCCTGCTGAACCGTTGCAGGCTCCTTAGGAAGCGAGCTGCGTGTGTTCCCGTGGACTGCGGTGACGAGGCCGAGGATTTGCAGCCCAGTCTGTGAGTATCGAGGGAGTTCTGGATCCTCGGGATAAGCTGCTTCGTCTCCCGTTTCTGGGTCGGGCATGAAATTTGGCCCTACCCTTTCTGCTTCGTTGGTGTTGACTGTCACAGGTGTTACGTAACCATCGTCGGCGAAACGGTAGAAGATTTCGGCGTTGTTACTGTCGCGAGGATTATCCTCATCCATGGGCACGTCGACGGAGCAGTATGGGAGAGGTCCGGCTTCTTCTGAGGCGTTGTCGACGTTCTGTTCATCCCAGTCTGCTTCGTCCGCTGCTGACGCGAAGGCTCGGTCACCACGAAAACCACTGGTGAGGTCCCGATTCTCGTGCAAGTTGGCGAGGTACGTCTGAAGGGTGAGTCTTTCGTAGAAGATCACGTCACGTGCTGCTACTGTTTCCTTTGTGTGGACGTCGAAGATTTTCCATGCGTTGTAATTTTTCTCGATGCCGAGGTGTAGTCCCCACTGTGCCCGTTGCGAAAATCTTCCCGCTCGTGCTTCTGGGGGTCTGTACTGTACCATGCACCCGAAAACTCGTAACATTTTCGTGCTGCCCTGCTTCCCTGTCCACAGCAGATGCGGTGATGCGTTGTTCGGGAGTGACGACGACGACAACAAGTTGTGTAGCATGACAGCGTGGTCCATTGCTGCTGGCCACTGGTGGTTGGGTAGCCGCATGCCACGTAATAGTTTGCGCATGCTGTTCTGCAGGGTCCTGTTCAGTCGTTCTGCAACACCTTGCTGCTGATGTGCGTAGGGAAGGGAGAGGAGTTGCTTGATTCCCCTTTCCGCCAAGAACTGCTTGAAGCGGTGAGAGGTGTACTCGCCACCTCCGTCTGACTGGAAATTTTTCAGTTGTGTTCCAGACTCTCTCTCTGCTATCGGTAGCCAGGCGGCGAATGCTGCGAGCGCCATGTCGCGGCTGGGTAGGTTGCGATGCCAGACGTATCGAGTGGCGGCGTCGATGAAGGTGATGGTGTAGTTGTAGTTGACTTGTCCTGGCTCGCGATTGTAGAGGATGTCGCTGTAGACTTTTTCGAGTGGTGCGTACGCTGGAGCGCTCGGGTTGTGATGTGAAGCAAACGGTCGATGAGGTAAGTCAGCTTCGGGACATATAAGGCAAGTCCCTCGTGCCTTCTGGAGTTCTCTGCCATCGGATAGAAGTAGAGAATCTTTGTAAAGGACTCCTGCTCTTATCGTGTTATTCAAAACCGTGTTGCTTGGATGTCCTGTTCGTGCGTGCCAGATCTCTTCAGAGGCGCGGTGTCCAGGTGAACGCTGATATGCGTCGGAGTTGGAGTAAAAGCTGGCGACGAGGTTGGCGCTTCGGTGGACTTCACGTTGAGTCGGATTCAGCTGTTTCGCGGGTGTTGGTGGTGCTTCGTCGACTGTGACTGGTGTCGTTGTTCCTGCTGCTGCTGATGTTGTTGCTGCTGCCGATGTTGTTGCTGCTGCCGATGTTGTTACTGCTGCCGATTGTCGAATTGTTGCTAATGCTCGTTTTCGTTCTGCTTCAGGAATGGTGTGCGAGTACCAGAAGCCTCCTGGGCTGAAGTCGGGGTCGAGATCCGGAGGGTGTGTCCAGTCAGTGAAATTCACGATGGCGTCGCTGTCTGCAGTGCCCAGGTCAGGAACGAAGTCGAGGACGAAGACGTTGTTCTTCAGCACTGCTTTCCCGATGTAGAGACCGCCTCTCCCGTGGTAAAGTTTGAACTCCTGGGTCGTGCTGTCGGCTTCCAGATGAATTCCTTTCGCCATCAACTGGCTAACGCTCAGTAAGTTGTAGCCGAGTCCTTCAGCGATGAGTACCTTAGACATGTGCAGTATGACATTTGTTTCTCTTGACTGAAGCTGTACCACTCCTTGTCTTCGTGTGCGCAGGTTTTGGTTGTTGGCAACCGTGATGATCACTTCCCGTTGGAGTCGATGTTCGCGTTGTACGA